GGAGAGGTGGGAGAGGATGGTGACTGATGGAGAGCATGGTGGGTTTTAAGTGAAATTGATACTGGTCTACTGTTTGTCCTGAGTGGTGGTCACCTGGGCCTGGTCACTTTGGGTTAATTTGTGGAGCTGTACCCTTATCAGGTGTGTACTTTCTTGCATACAATTCATATTTTAAAGACTAGTTAGGCCAGGCATAGTGGCATGTACTTGTAACCCCAGCTGCAAGTGGGCTCAGGTGGGAGGATCTCTTGAACCCAGGAGTTTGAGACTCCATCTCAAAAAAAGAAAGAAAAGGAAAGAAAAGAAAGGAAAGAAAGAAAGAAAGAAAGAAAGAAAGAAGGAAAGAAAGAAAGAAAGAAAGAAAGAAGGAAAGAAAGAAAGAAAGAAAGAAGGAAAGAAGGAAGGAGAGAAAGAAAGAAAGAAGGAAAGGAAGAAAGGAAGGAAGGAAGGAAGGAAGGAAGGAAAGAAAGAAAGAAAGAAAGGAAGGAAGAAAGAAAGGAAGGAAGGAAGGAAGGAAGAAAGAAAGGAAGAAAGGAAGGAAGGAAGGAAGGAAGGAAGGAACTGGAGGTGTAGCTCGGTGGTAGAGGGCTTGCCTAGCGTGCTCAAGGCCTTGGGTTCAATCCATAGCACCATAAAAGGAAGGAAGAAAGGAAGGGAGGGAAGAAAAGGAAAGGGGGTATAGCTCAATGGTAAATCTTGTGGTCAGTGTGTGCAAGACCTGGGTTCCATTCCTAGCATTCCTCCCTCTTCTCCAAATTAAAAATGTCACATTTTATCAGTGAGGGTTCCATCAAACAAGTAGTTCCCAATATAATGTTGGAGCTTAAGATCTACCCGGCAGGGAGTTGGGGAGTGAAGATGGATATAAGGCGGGGTGGAGGACCCAGAGTAACTGAAATCCCAAGCACAGGCTGAAGACAACCAAAGATGGACTGAAACCCATATCCATTCTTTCCGCCATGAGTGAAAAGGGTTTCCTGAAGAAGCTGGGACCTGTCTGGCCCAGGAGTCCAGAGAAATGAAGGTCAACTCACGGGAGGGTGGACAGTGACAGGCCTGGCTCTGCCCACTGCAATGAGCTGATCCTGCCAATCAACAGCCATTAGCGTGTGCTCCAAAAATGACACTGCTTCATTTCCACACTCCAAGTCTTGCAGAATCTCTTGTGCCCCATCCTAACCAGAAACATGAAGGGACAGGAAATCCGTGAAATGTCACGGTGGCCTAGCCAAGTTGATGCAGGCCCCATAATGTTTTTCATTTATCTCTGGCAAAGAGAAAAAAATGTGAGTGCTCCCTATGACAGTGACTGTGCGGGGACCTAGGCTGTCTGGTGGGTTGGTGGTAAGTATCAAAGCGGGTCCAACTTGAGGAGGAAAATGGGTGTGCCAAATCTACAGGGTGGTCTTGAATCATGATCCTCCTAATTTCTTCTCCCAAGTAGGTAGGACTACAGGCTTAAGCCGCCCATGCCTGGTTTTTAGATTTGTTTTAATGTTGTTCACACAGTATTTATTTTCACTAATGTAAAATGGAAGACCCAAATTTCACACCTCTGCTTCTGGTATATCTTTACTTATTTTTGTTTTTTGAGAAACAGTCTTCCTATGTATCCCAGGCTGACCTCCAATTCATGATCCTCCTGCCTTCATCTCCTGAGTGCTGAGATTACAAGTGTGTACCACCATGCCTGTGTCTTTGGTGTATCTTTACAGGTACCCACTGCTGCAGCAAATACCCCCCAAAATGTATCATGGCTGAACCATAAACGAAGCTTATTTCCTGTTTCAGGAACACTGCATTTTGGTATTTGTGCAGGACCTTGCTCCGTGGTGGAGATCTATCAGTGAAACAGGTTGGCGTGACTACCAATGTCATCCTTGCAGTGTCAGGAGCAAAGGAAAGAGCCTGGGGGGGCTGTCAGTTGGAGGGTCTTATGGACACATGCCTCGCTAATCCTCTGCTCACCTCACCATTGGCTAGACAGAGTCACATGATCATCCCTGCTACAATGGAGACTGGGAAATGTAGTTTAGAAGCTAAGTCTGAGCAGTGAGCACTGCTGAGCTGCTAGCAGATACCTGCCCAACCTCATTTCCCTAACCGGTTTTCATCCTTAGACTCCTCTAGGAAACCCCCCATGATTTCACACTCCCTCAACATACTCAGGCTGCACGGGAGCCTGAGTTACTCAGTCACCCTGGGGTTTTCAGAGGGAAAGAGCCTGGCAGAAGGCAAGGTCCCATGTTCTCACATTGTGTCTGTACTTGGTCAGATCCTTCCTCTCCCTGGTCCCTATGTCTACCATTTCCAGCTGCACTCAGCTGATGGGAGGACCTAGAGGGAGGCTGGAGGGGAGAGAAGAGGGAGGTGGGTGCGTCCCTCTTCCTCAGCAGGTGTGGGGGGGGTCTGTGGGGGGACTGTTGACCTCTGACTGTGGCCAGGTTGACCTGGTGGGCCTGAATGCTTCCTGTTTCTATAGCATGGCTCCTATTTGATCCCCTGGATTACTATCTTCTTTACCCTGGCGGGTACTAGGGCCAAAGACCCTATTGGGTTCCAAGATTGGGATATTCTGTTATCCCAGTCTGCGGTGGGCCATCTGTCAATTCCCTGTTCTCTGTCCTGCAAGCCCTGGTGCTGCTGTTTGAGAGACCCCCTTCCCCAAGGCAGAGATCCACATGCTTCTGATGTCTCTAGAGGATCTGTGCCTTCTCTGGTACCTTTTGCCTTTGCACAGGCCCAGCTGCACCCTCTGTCTCCTCTGGGCCCCTGGGAAAGCCCCTGCCAGGTGGTGGGGCTTCCCGTCCTGGCCTGCCCCTGGCACTGGGAGTGTCTGATGTTTGGGGCCAGGGCCAGAGCCAGGGCACCCCTTCTTTTGCTGGGGAAGGGACGTATGAAGATAGCTCTAAGTCCCATCCTACAGGGAGATGGGTTGGAGGGGGAGAGACCAAGGTAGGCCATGCTTTACTCAAGATGAGTCTAAATGTCTTGACCTGGCAGAGGAGACTCTTAGGCTGGCTCCCCACTCCACCCCCATTGTTCCTCAGATATGACTTACAACTATCTGTGTCTTCCACTCAGCTTTTACTCAGGCCGTTCCTAAACAATCTCTATTACCAACCAGAGCTCTGAGAATCCACCTCTTTTTTTTTTTTTTTTTGGTACTGGGGTTTGAACTCAGAGCCTTGCACTTGCTAGGCAGGCACTCTAACACTTGAGCAACTCTGCCAGGACTTTTTTTGTTTTGTTTTTGAGATAGGGTCTCACTATGTAGCCCAGGCTGGCCTCAAACTCCTGATCCTCCTGTCTCCACCTCTCAAGTGCTGGAATTACAGGCCTGAGCCACCATGCTTAGCACAACTTGCCTTTTTAAAGAGGCAGGCTTTTGCCATATTGCCCAGACTGGTCAAGAGATCCTCCTGCCTCCATCTCCTGAGTAGCTGGGTCCACATCATGTACCACTCACTGCACCTGCATTTTGACCCTGATTTGGGTATTGTCTGGGATACTTTCTACTGAATCCTCTGAGCTGTGAAGCTGCCCTGCCCTCCTGGGCTCCTACATGTCCAGGCCTTGGACAGGACACTAACCTTATTCACTGACAAGTGCCCAGCCTGGGTGTAGCTTGGCACAGGGATACCCTGGGGACTTAGGCAGAGGGAGGCTAGCCCTGCTTTACATCATCTGCAGAGAGGAAAGTACCAGCTCAGTGGCCAAGGGGCTGGCCCTCAAATCCCACCCTGCCCCAAGCCGCAAGTCCAGAGTAGTAAAAAAGCAAGGGTGTCGGGGCTGGGAAGACAGGACCCTCAGACACCATCCACATCCTCTAGTCTCCTGGGTGGCCCCCCACCCTCCATCCTCCAAACCCCTGGCTGCCAGCTGTTATATAGGCCCCATCATACACCTTCTCTGGGAAGCTGTCTACTCAGGACCTGCCCTGCCACTTGGATCTTCTGTTCCCAGCTAGGACCTTCTGCCAAGAGCAAGGCTGAGCGGATGGATGGGAGTCCTAGACTTACCACAGTCAGTGCCAGCTGGATAACTTGGGGTGACCTATGGCCTTCCCAGGTAAGGTTAGACAGATGGGTGAGCTATGCATGAACCTTGTCTGTGGTTATGGCCAAGCCTGCTGGCCCAGCAGTGGGGTTTAGGGTGGGGTCTTCTAACTGTCCTTCCTTCTCTGGAGCCTCCAGCACCCCGGCCTGCACTCATTGTTCCTGCCCTCTGCTGCCCTCATGTGGCCACTCCCAGCATCGCAGGCTGAGAGGCCTCAAGCAAAATTACCCAGGTTATCTGAGTTCCCAAACTCCAACCCCCACAATCGCCTACATCTGAGATCAAAGTTGCAAATCTAATCTTGCCTAGGCCCTACATGGTTCTCATTCAGTGAGCTCTCCACAAAGGAGGGCTTTGGGCCCTGCTTATCTTCTGGCTGTCTCCCAGTCTGTGCTTCTAGGACATTCCCTCCATACCTGGCCCCAGACGAGGGGCTGGTAAGGAGCTGCCCAAGTGGGCAGTGGTGGCATGAGGCGCCTGGCTCTGTGCCTAGCTTCTGGAAATTCCTGGGCTAAGGAACATGGGTCCTGGTCACCCAAGGACTTACACTGGGCCTTACCAGTAGCTGTGTCCAGCCAAGAAGCCCGATTGCAGGGCAGTGCTGGGACAGGACATGGTTGAGGGCCAAGGCCAGCTTGCTGTGGGGCAGGCAGCTCTTCTCAGGGAACACCAGGGTAGGGTGAAGAGGCAGACACCTAGTCTGGCCCCATGGGTTTTGCCAGGTAGGATCTGTCCCTTCCTATTTCCTGAGCCCCCAGTGTGACACCCCCTTTGTCCCTTCATGCCTACCCCATGAGGGGAGTCACTGTCCTTAATCCCATTTTATACATGAAGAGGGGGACAGGGAAGGACCTGTCCCGGGTAATCTGGGAGTGGATGAAGCAGACAGGACTCAAACCCTAGTGCTGTAGGTATGTAACCCCACATAACAACCATGGAACTCTCTAAAAGTAAGACATAGCACGAGCAGCAGGACACCAGGGAAGAGATACAATAAGCTTGTTTTCTCCTTGTTCAGGCAGGGAGGGGTGTCCCCAAATGATTCCAGAAGAGGTAGAAACTTAAGCTTGAAGTACACAGGGTAGTTTCTTCCCTGCTGGGGATCTTGCTCTCTGTTCAGGGTGCTTTGGCCTCTCCTTACCCTGGGGCCATCTTGGATCTCAGGCTGGGCCCATGATGCAGGAACCAAGGCAGCTCGGCATTGGGGGCCCATGCAAAGGTAGGTAGCAGGTCTCAGTTTATCAGGGCTCAGGACCACCGGCGTTCGGATTGAGGTATTAGAATTGGAGTGTCAGATGCAGGAGATTAGGGCTTGGGGCACAGACATTACAGTTCCAGGGTATGAAGTCTCCAGGCTGAGGAATCAGAGCCACAATATAGGATCAGAACGTGGAACATTGATGGCAGGGGATTTGGGAGTTAGAACATCTGCACTATGCCTCAGGTCAGAGATGACAGAATAGGTCTTCAGTCCATGGGTGTAAAAGGCTCAAGGTATCTAGTGTCCAGCTGAAGGGATGTGAGCATCACAGGACTGGGTGCATGCTATTTGGAGTCTAGGACTTTCTCTGTGGAGACTGAATCTCAACCCCCAGACGGTCCTGTGCTGCTGGCCAGGTGTGCTCCATCTCAGGGATATGAACTCTGTGTGTTCCTGTAACAGAGATGCAGTTTGGAGCCAGCCACAGTGGTCCCACCAGCTGCCCCAGGGACCCACAAGAGCTAAAGAAGGGGTAGAGATGGGGTCTGAGGGTGGAACCCTCAGCCTGGCTAGAATCTCACATGTTTCCCTTCCTGTATTGCAGCAGCATGTAGATGAGAGCGACCAGTGCCACCACTGCCAGGCCTCCGAAAATGATGCTTAGCAGCACCGTGTAGCTCCGTCCTGGTGAGGGGTAAGAGCAATGAGGATGGTCTAGGGTGTGCAGGCTTCCAGGGAGGGGAGGGTGCATAGGAAGGGCATCCTCACCTAACTGGCACTCCGGGGTGGGTGTGGACCAGTTGCCGTCAGCCTGGCAGGTGCTAGTCTCTGCCCCAGCCAAGCTATAGCCAGTGTTGCAGTGGAAGCGGATGGTGGAGCCCACCAGGTACTTGAGGCCCTCCTTGTACCCATTGGCAGGAGGAGACAGCCAGCCACAGGATACCACTGGGGTTGGGGCAGAGCATAGAGGACAGGCCTGAGCTGTTGGCCTTTGCATGCAGCTGGCCAGCCTGGGGTGCTCTCCTCCTTGCCCAGGCTACCCCTACTCCCACCCTCACCAGGCTGCAGGCTCTTCAGGCGATGCTGGTGCAGCTGGTGGGCAACCCGTGTGGCATTGCCCACGCTCAGGCTCCCAGTGGCTGCCACATCGAAGATGCAGAAAGGGTCATTCTCACACAGTTTGGTTGCCTCTTCTGCTTGGCTGGGACTGAGGGTGATCTCATTGGAGAAGATGGGCTTGAAGTTGGGGTCATGCTTGGGTTGGTATGTGAAGTTGTGGACCAAAAACCAGGAGTCGTATGCAAACAAGGAGGAGTCATTGTGCACGGCCCCTAGGAAGACAGTCCTGGGTTGGGCACAGCTCTAAGCAGTGGTTTAGGGTTTGGGGTCTCCCCTTGGAGCATAGATCCTGCCTGACACATTCCCCTCCTTGCTACACTCACTGTGCCCAGCATATGCCCTGGGGTCACTCACAGTCTGCCCCATACTGGAACAGCTGCTGGGCACTGGCATTCAGTGGCAAGACCTGTCCACTACGTAGGGTGAAGTCATCAGTGGGGTCATCATTGAGTGTCCCGAGGAGGCCATGGGTGTGGGTCAGGAACTTCTCAGGTAGCAGGACAGCCACACTCAGGAAAGGGCCCTGATTGCTGATCTCCAGGCCAGCCCCCGATGACAACATGATTGATGCCTTGTCCTCAGCGGCCACTGACAGGAACATACCTGACCACAAAGGTGGAGATGAGTCAAGGTTACTCTCTTGGTTCCTGTGTCCTTCCCTCACCCTTGATGAAACTCCAGAATGGAGTAGGGAACACCTGCAGATGAAGGGGAGGGTGTCCACAAGTCCAGCCTGCTTGACTATGACATTCTACCATCCTCAACCCACATTTGGCCCCAGACGGACCTGAGGTGCTTAGTCCCTATAGAGAATCCCTTTGCTGAGGCTACATGTGGGAGTCATTCCCCGATCGGCCTATAGCAGTCTTGCCTGACTCTGCCCTTCCTGGGAGTCCTTGGACACTCAGCCTCCCCACCCAACCCTCCGCCTTGGGAGCCATTTCATTTGTTCCTTTCCTTGTTGTACCACAGCTGCGGTGGCAAGGGGGTCTGAAGCTGGAGCTGCAGCTCCTGACTGCCACTTCTGAGCTGCGCCCTTAAACCTGCAGAGTCGGCTTCCTTGTAGCAGCTCTCGGGATGGAATGAGTGACCACATCATAGTTGCGGAGCCCTCCTGGCCAGTGGTGAGTACCATCATGATGGCCCATGGGCTCCTCTAAACCATAGAGAGGACCCATCCCATAGTTCCAGCCTTTCAGGGGTCTTAACAGACCTATGGGTGTGACACAGGCATATCCATGAGTGTGAAGATGTGAGAACAGACTTCATGCTGGGCCCATTTTCTCTTTGGCCTAGGATAGCTATGAGCTGGAGCACTGACTCATCCACCCAGTTGTGCTGGGCTGGCCCCCTCTCCCAACCCTGAAGTCTCCATCTTTGCATCTGAGACCCAGACAGATTCCCACCTCAGCCTCTAGCCAGGGCTGAGGAGAAACATGAAAGCCCCATGACCACCCTCAGCTCTTGGGCAGCCTGCTGACCTTTCCTGACCACACCACTCACCCTTCAAGTCCATCCAGTTCTGCTCGGTGAAGCTCAGCACCTCCTGATTCAGCAGCACCTCCAGGACCCCAGACTCTCCAGCCAGCCTCACCTCCACCACATCTGAGTTGCCCTCCTGGACAGCTACTGCAGTCAGCCCTGTGCCCCGGGCCTGTGTGCCTGGGGTGGTGGATGCAGAGTGGGGTCCTCTTGGCTCCCTGCCTCCCATCCTAGCTACCCAGCACCATTCAGAGCCTGCAGGGCTCTGGCCTCACCGTGTGTCATCATCTCAGGCTGGGCCCGCGCTTGTACCCTCAGGTCAGTCAGCGGTGCCTCCAGTAGCACATACTCTCCGCGACCATTGAAAGTGAAGTTGGTACCATCAAAGGTGACAAAATGGGGATCCCCAAAAGCAGAGGCTGGGACAAAAGTGGATGGTCAGTTGGCCTCCTTATACCCGGCCCTACCCAACCCTCCCACAGGCAGGTACCCAGGCAGGCACCCACCTAGGTGTGGGGGCCGGTAATTGCGGCAATCACTGGAGGGCCGTCGCCGCATATAGCGGGAGCACTCGGGTGCCCAGAGGCAGCAGTAATAGAAGCTGATGACATCATAGAGCCAATGGGACATGCCAGGCACACGGGGTGGTGTGCGGTATGGGGGCGCGCCCCAGTCATGGCCACGGTCTGGGGTGCTGCCACTGGTAGAGTCAGCAGTCAGGAGTTGTGTGCCATCTGCTGTGTAGCAGCACTGCTGGCCTGAGCCATACTGGGGACTGAAGGCAACAGCCGGTCAGGGCCACCATAGGCAGCCTGCCCCCAGTCCCCACTGTCTCTTCCCATTCCTGGTCCAGTGGCTCACCTGGCTTGCACGGAGCGCACACAGTGCACAGCCCCTGGGTGGTAGGTGCAAACACTGCCATGCTCGATGTCACAACCATAGTCCGTCTGCAGAGTAGCCAATAGCTGTCACCTGGGTTCTGCATCCCCTCCCTTCCTGGGAGCTGACCCTATGGGGGTGCTCATATCCCAATCCCATCTCCTGGGGGGCCTGTGTCGGCCTCAGTGGAGAAGACTGGCCCTTCATGTTCCCTCCCCTTATCTTGGACCCTAAAGGGTTCAGAGGCTTACAAAGAAGCGACCGGAGTCAGCCCGGGCCTGGGCCAGGGTGCAGGGACAGTCAGGCAGCTCCTTCAGGAAATCTGGCAGCTGGTCCTCTAGAGCCTCCCAGGCCAGGCACTGTGAGCGGGCCCAGGCAACAGAGTCTTCCCGGAAGTCATCGCCTAGGTGCCAGGCCAGGGCGTGATCATTGGTCCAAAGTGCCTGTACATCCCTGCAGCAGTGATGGTGCAGAAGTTAAGGGCTGTGAAAGCCATGCCACTCCCTCAGTTACCCCTGGCTTTGGATTTCCCCAACAAGCATAGTAGTCTGCAGGTGGACTGCCCCCAGCTACTCAGAGGCCCTTACTTCTGCCCTGCGTAGTTCTTGCTGTCAATGATCCGAAGTGCACCCACTTTCCATTTCTGGTAGTTGGGAAGTGCAGGTTTTGGAGTGAAGGTGAAAGAGCCAGAGTTTGGGATATTTGTGGCCAGTGGGTAGAGGTAGGACCACTCTGCTGTCCAGTTTTCTGAATATGGTATCCCTGAGGGAGAGAAGGCCTCGGTCAGCTCTAGGACTCCTCCAACAACCCGTGGGGCAGGAGAAGGGCTGGCCCTAGTCTTTGGCACTGAGCTGCTTGACAGATGGATAAAAAGGTGAATAGACACATAAGCAAAACCAGGTCCCTGTGGGACCTGTACTGCAGGCACTCCGGCTTGGATGACCACCACTTCTTTATACACACAGCCCTGGGCCATGCCAGGCTCATAGAAGACAGGGCAGTTAGCTTCTATCTCCAGCACAAGGAGGCCCAAGGCATCCAAACCTCCACTGGATGTGGGGCCCCAAACAGACAGGCATCTTTCACCTAGCTCTCTCCCTCACTCAGCTGATGGAAATTACTGCTGTTCCTCTCCCTTAGCTGCATGTTCCTTGCTCCTGACCCCCAATCCCTGCCTGGAATGCCCTTACTTCCTCCTCTGCCTAGAAACCCACCCCCCTCCCCCAACCTGAGATTCTCTCTCTCACTGCTGGGAGCCCAAAGTTCCTGATGCCTACATCAGTCCTCAGCTAGCCTTACCTGTCTCCTCATAGCCCCATAGCTCTATGGTGACAGCTGGCGTGGGAAGCATCGAGGTGTTCCAGGTGAGACTGAGGTTACCAGTGGTACCCGAGGTGCCATAATATTGCCAGTGGGTCTCGTTTACCAGCTGGCTCTTCTCCGATTCTGACACTTTGTTGGGATGTGCTGAGCAGGGGCAGGTGAAATGTGAGGGAAGGTCTTGGGGCCCAGGAGGTATAGGGGAGGAGTGCTTGGGGCTCTGAGGGTTGTGAGGACCTCCCAAGAAAAACCCACTGAAGGGGTTAGGTGGTAGTCTCTCTCAGACCCTGTCGGCAGAAAAGGACAAGGCCAGGAGAGGAAGGGGCCTGGCCTGGCCTGGCCTGTCCTAACAGGGTTGAGCAGCAGGCACTAGTTCATCTCTCTTGGGACCCCTGCAGCCCCGGCTCCTGTTGGGCCAGACTCCTTTCTGGATACCAGGGGTTGAGATAATGAGTTGAGGGAACTCCCATCCAGAGGACTGGTTCAACCAGGGTGGCAGGTAGGTAGACCAGGTCTCAGTGTGCATAGATTAGCACTGGGGAAAGTCCCTGTGGGCTTAGGTTGTAGGTGGAAACCAGGGCTCATGGAGGGTGGGGTCTGGGGCCTGCAGTCTGTACTGGTTTGGCCAGGTGAGGGCTCACCAGCTAGCCAGGTGCCTGTGAGATTGAAAGAGTGGCCATTGTCCATCGAGATGGTGAAAGGGATGCGGCCACTCTCGTAGAGCAAAGGTGACACGCAGTGCACCTGCTTCAAGGAGTCCACATAACCAAGGGTCTGGATACTTTCCTTAAACCTGAGGGAGAAGAATAGAGGTGGCAAGGGAGGCTGGGCCAGATGAGCTGACCTTCTCAAAGTCCTGGACCCCCTGGCCTCAAGGAACAGGTCCAGCCAGGCAGGCCCTCCTGCCTGTCCTCGATCCCAAGGCTCCACCAAGCCAACCAGTTGGGGTTGGTAGACCCAGTGGGTCTGGGTCTCCTTCGTGCATGGGACTGGAGTGTGAAGGGCCTGATGATCCAGCCCCTCAGGTCTCCCACCTGCAGATCACGCCATTTGTGGAGCTGGACCATTCGATATGCTGTACCACAAAGTCCTTGCCACCCATCATGGAGCCCGAGGAGGGTGAAATCTCTAGACAGAAGTCCTGGAAGTCCAAGCAGCAGGTGCCAAGGCCCAAGCAGGTTGGGTGGCAGGAGCAGGGTCCAGTCTTGTTTCCACAGCGCAGGGAGCAGCTCTCCTGGGCACCTGGAGAGGAGAGCTCTGAGCACCTGGCTGGGTGTGTCCTGGGCCAGTCACCCTGTGTGTAGGGCCTGTCTCTATTTTCCCTGGAGTCTGTTATAAAAAAGCATTCCTAAGAGAATGCTGGCTTGGGACTTGCACTAGCCACCACGTGGACCCAGTGGAAAGTCACAGATCTCAGATAATTAGCAACAGATAATGGTTGGGTGGACTGTTTAGAATAGGGGAAAATGGCTGAGACGTCAACCTTGGGAGAGTCAGGAGTAGGTCCTTGGGCTGTACTGACACTAAGTCCTGTAGCTCACAGGGCAGGCATCCTCAGAGGGTCACTGTTGCCTGAGCCCCTGTCATGGGTCTGGGCAGCCTCTTTTGGCTCTCGAGGTATCTATGGACAATGTGCTATATGGGGGCCCCACATTCTAGACAAGGACCTCTCTTGCTTGCCTAGGCAGGGGTCTGAACACATGGCTGTTAAGAGTCCCATTCAAGACCTGGGCTGAGCCTGCCCTACCTCCTTTCCCAGAGGGAAACAGTTGAGCCCAGAGACCCCCACCCACCAAGGTCAGGGATGCTCCATTCATTTCAGCAGACAGGCGAGATATTTCCAGCAGGAAACCTGGGACTGAGGAGAGGATAGTCAAGAATGCACCACAGGGAGTTGTGGACATCAGATCCAAGCCTTATCCTGTGGGCTATGGGGGACCAGTATCAGGGGCATTATTTTCAGATTGGTCCCTCCAGAGCTGGAGGGTGGAGACTAGGGTGTGGCGCAAGAATTCAGGCTTGCAAATTCCATCTGGCCCTTCCCCATCCCCCAACTAAAAGAAGCCAGTCAAGGGCCAGGCCTGGGCCTGAGCCACCCCAGCCGCCCTTCACTAAATGCAATGGCTAGCATTCAAGAGTGGCAATAAATATTTATTGGCCAAGGATATGATGACTTCAAGGATGTGATGGGGTGTGGGGAAGAGGCTTTGAGATGCCAGTAAGTGAGATAAAAGTGGTAGGAGGGTAGTGACACTTTCCTGTAAGATAGATGGAAGATGGAATTAGGTGGGAAATTGTGGCTTGGTGACTCCTAGCTCAGCCTGGGGCCAGGGTCAAAGCTCTGGAATTCAAACCTTCTTTTTGATGTTTTTGGGTTCAGTCACATCCTGATGAGGACCGGCAATCCTGCCTAGGGTTGGGCAGGTGGCTGGGAGGCTCCCTATATGTGATTACGCCCTCCATTGGAGCTTGGGTTCAGGTCAATGTCTCTATTGCCTCCCTCCCAGCTCCAAGTGGGTGTAAAGTGGGATCAGCCCAGACCCCCTCATCCCTACTGAAGGCTCCTCAACCCTGGGAGCCTCAGAAATTCTTCACACCGCCCCCAGCACAGCCACAGATGGTCTGACAGATGGAAAGAGGCTGAGCTCAGGGTGGGTATCTGTTCCAGCCTGGCTGATAAGACAGATGGACAGATAAAGGGGACAGAAGGGCAGAGTGGGGGCATACCTGCAGTGGGCCAGAGTCCTGGACTGGTGGCTGTCATCAGTAGCAGCAGGACCCAGGGCAGGAAGGTCAGCTTCATGGTGTAGACTGTGTCTGCAGCTGGCAGGCAGTAGTGTGCTCTGAGGCGGCAGACAGAACTCACTCACTTCCCACTGGGCTGGCCCCGCCCGACAGCTCCACACTGTGTAGCACCGCCCCACACCACCCCTCCTCATTCGGTCCCCTCTCAAAGTCCATAGGTGCCTGTGTGGACCAGGAACCAACGGGGAGCCCAACCTGCTCTGTTAGCACATTCCTGTCCCGACTGCAAGGAACACGGGGGAGGGGGCTGAACCCTCGGACCCAGTGGGAGAGCTAGGAGGCTGGAGCCTCCAGTTACAGGACCTTTGACATAAGATGAGCAGTATGTCCAGAGGCTGCAGCTCCAACTGGGTTCCAGCCCAGACTAGCAAGCAGGGCGGAGCTTCTGCAGGAGATGGGATGCTGTAGGGTGGATGAGGCGGGGCTGTCACTGAAATGGGCAGGATTCCAGACCCAGTGTCCTCCGGACAGATCTCATATTCTCACCCCTCAGCTTCCTGAAGGGAGGAGGTGCTGCTAATCCCTCCTCACAGCCTGGCAGGTGAGAGAGCAAACAGATTCATGCCAGGGCCTATGTGTAGTGTGGATGATCTCAGAGGGCCAGAGCTGCCAGGTTAGATACTGGCTGAGCTCTGGGACAGAGGTGGCACTGAGGGGACAGCTGTGCAAGGGGTGCCCAGGCCCGGCTGCAGCAACAGGCCCATACACAAGATTTCTGAAAGCCTCCACCCAGGGCAGGGGACCCCAGAGACAAGGCCCGCGCAGCCACACTTGCCCCTGTGCAGTCACTCAGGGAGTTTGCACAATCTCTTCAGAGTTTCCCTCCCTAATCCTCATGCGGATGAGGAAACTGAAGCCAAGCAGGTGTTAAGGTAGGCCCTTAACCACCACCCCCACCCTCCCCACCAAACCTGGGTCAGCCATGACGGTCCCAGGCCTGGGACTCACTTAGGGCCTGTGGTCACTTGAGCTGGATATCAAGACAGGCAGGTGGTCCCCTCTCGGTTGCAGTTTCTCAAGATGTCCAAAGAAGACATATTTGCCAACCTCACAGGGAGCTGAAGCTGGTAGGTTAGGGGAAGAACATGAGCTGAGGTCATCTGGGCCTCAGATCCTGGGGCCCAGCCAGCCCATTTTGTCCCTGTCCCCTTTCTTGCCTAGGTGTGGCTGCCTGGAACCAGCTGGGATTGGTGGCCACTTGCAGGGCTCCTGTGGGTCCAGATATAAAGAGGCTGGCTCCTACCAAGTGTCAAAGGAAGTCTGTAGCAGGGGAGTCAGAACTGGGGCCCTCTACCAGAACTGCTCCAGGTATGGCCCCTTACTCTAACTGCACCCTACAAAAGCATTTGGTGAGATCTTCACCTTCCAGATGGGAGAGAGTCTCTTACAAAGCTGTTGGGCACCCAGGCACCCCTGTGGGTAGGTGTCCTGAGTGTGGACACTGAGGTCTCATGTCAGGGCTGGTCCTGGGACGCATCCCAGGCCCAGGACTGAGAATGCTTCCAATTATAGGGTAGGGGGTGGGGGTGTTGGATGAATCACTGCTGGCAATGATCGCTTGGCTTTTCAGATGATGGGTCCAGCCATGATCCATTCTGGGCCACCATGCTTCTGGTTCCAAATTGCCTGGGCTGGGGACCCAGGGTAGTGCTCAGCCCATGGGAGACACAGGACAGAAAGGAGGTGCCCCATCTCCATCGTGGCCCAGTGCTTAGGGGCAGATTGCCCTCGAGGTGCTGGGGGTGACAGTTGTGAAGGGCAGGTATTTGTGCCTGGAACCTGAGTATACCCAAAACAGATGGGTCTGGAACCTGGGAGGACAGTGCCATATTATGGGCTTGTTTAATGCTTTGTTGTGGTCCTGAAACTTGAATTAAATTTTTAGCTAGGCCTGGTGGTACACATCAGTAATCCCAGCTACTTCAGAAGCTGAGGCAGAAGGATGGTGAGTTCAAGGTCAGCCTGGGGTATATAGTGAAACCCTATCTCAAAAAAAAAAAAAAAAAGAAAAATACTAATTTTTTGATCAAGGTGGGTCTTCCATGTGTCTCGTACTGGGCCCTACAACTTATGTAGCTGGTCCCATGTGAGTGGGTGGAATGTGAAGGGAGATAGGTCCCCACTTCCTTACATCCTCTCCCCACAGTGCCCACTGCCAGCTCCTCAGCTGTGGCTGGGCCCTGCCTTCCTATGTTCTCCCATCCACTGTACTCCCCATTGAGCTCTGGGGATCCCCCTGGCACCCTTCAGGACCAGCTACAGACTCACCCAAAGGGGTCTGTCCTGCCCCCCTCCCCCCACCTAGCCTTCCCTAGGGGATGAGCAAAGAGGCAAAGACCATCATTCCATCTTTATTAGAAAAGAAACCAAAAAAAAAAAAAAAAGGGTGTGGGGCGAGCCTGGCCCTAGATAACCCCTCCACTGGGACCTAGCAGAGCCTGGCTCGTCCTGGCACCATAGTATGGACGTGAAGTTGGATGCGCTGGTGTGGGCACATTTACAAAGTTAACATTTCATAGAAAAGGATGCCAGTCCTGCAGTGCAGATTGTGACCAATTCAGCCTCATGTAGTTAAGCTGGGCCTCCTCCTCCTCTGGACTCCCACACTGAAGAGGCAGCTGGGTAGGCTCCTGGAAGGCTGCATGGGAAATGGTACCCTATGTGGGCCTTTGGCCTTGCCCAGTCTCTGGGCCAAAGGGGCATTCCAGGCCTGGGTGGCCCTTCCGGGTGGCTATGGGGCTCCAGGTATTCCCCCTCAGATGTCCATGTAGTCGTCATCCTCATCCGTTTCACTCTCTAGTGAGGACTCCTGGCTGGATGTCTCCAGGACCTCTAGGGCCGGCTGGCACAGGCTCTCCTTCCTCACATTGGCGGCTGACTGGGCAGACAGGATTGCTGACTGCAGACAGGGCAGGGCACTGGTCAGGGGCTCCTGGCTCTGCCCCAGGCCTCTTGACTTTAACTCAAACCCTCATCCAGGCCCCCCAGTAGACTGAGTCCCTGCCCCAGGCCCCCAGTAAACTAGCCCCCCACTTTAGGCTCCCCATAATCAGGCCCTCCAGCCAGGCTCCCTGTGACTTGTACCCCTGCCCATTACCCATGGTCACCTTCAGTTTCTGCTTGGTCTCCTCCGAGATGCTGCCTTTGGGGGAGAGCAGGGTCGGGGTGGGCGGTGTGACGGTGATCTCAGGGGGGAACTTGGTGGTGGTCGAGGGGATCACCAACTTTGGCATGCTGGGCAGGAGGCGGGACTTGGCCCGGCTGGGCTCGGCCTTGCCTGGGTGGCCCTCGGGTGGCTGGGCACTCCCACTGCTGGGGACCTTGGAGCTGGTGGCTGTTGGGGGAGACTTTAGAGACTGAGCTTTGCTTGCAGATTCCTGAGCCTGCTTGTCCCTTCCCTGCTCTGGACTCAGTTTCTCCTCTGGAAGACAGAGGCACCCAAAGTGCCCTCTCCTTGCTGGCTCCAGGCCTGCATGATATTTTGCTTGTGCTGCCTGTCAGGCCCCTAGGCCTCCATCTTGGGCAACTGCTCAGCTCAGGCCTGCAAAGACTCAACTCTGATGCTGGGGTTGTGTCCCCCACCCAGAAGCACTGTGGACTCTGAGAGCCCAGGGAGGGTGTGGCACACAGGGAGCTTCCCCAAGTCTTCTCAGTGATTCTGGGACTCACTTCCCCAGGCATTATGCTTACATGAACAGTTGTAGCCCCTAAACCATTCCAGGACACATGTCCTGTTGGTGTCCACACTACAGGGAGGACACTGAAGGCCAGAGTTAGTCACTCAGCCAGGCATGTCATTGTGCCAGCCCCAGTGTGTGTACTTTCCCTTCACTGAGGGGCTGCATTTGCCTGGAGCCTAGAGGCAGCTGGGGAGGTTGCTGGCTGCAGCTCTGGACTTGGCAGCCTCCAGGGAGCTGTGTCAGCTGGGAGCAATCTGGCTGTCCTGGCAGGGTTCCACATTCCTCTACAGCCCCATGGCTTTAAAAGGAGCGGGACTTACTCAGAACCCAAGCCTTGTCCCTGTTGGCTGGCGCCAGGTCCTGCCATCCTGAATGGTCTGTGGGAGGCCCAGCCAGGAGGAGTTCCCAAGGGGCCTGGCTGTGTAGGGTGGCTGATGAGAACAGTCTGGACAGAGGCTGGGACTGGGCTTTGTCTCAGCTGCCCATGGGGATGCCTCAGTGACTGGGTCCAAGCTCTTCCCTGTACATGGCTGGTCCTCTCCTGGCCTCCTATCCCATCTGAGCTCTACAGTGGGATGACAGCCACGAGCAAGACACCTGCCCTCACTAGGACCCATCTGTGAAGCCAGGGGTGAAATAAGAGGCTCTGGGGGCCCTGATAGTGGTCCATACCAGACTCCAGCCTAAGTTCTTCCTTTATTCTCCTGCCCACCCTGCATTGCCCTACCTTTCCTCCCTATATCACCTCCACTGGGCCTCCCCTCCTTGGTGGTAGGAAAGCCTATCATGGCTGCCAGCTGTGAGGCAGCCTGGAACCAGTGCTGGCTGCTTCCAGCTGGCCTTACCTTGGCTGCAGGTGGGCTCGGTGCCTGACTGGGCGGCAGCCTCCACTGGCCAGCAGTGAGGCTCTGCTGGGGAGCCTGTGGGGGCCATCTTCACCTGTTGATTGTGCTGTGGCTCCTGAGGTGGGCAGCTGGTGCCCTCTGCCACTTCTGCCAGCTCTTCTCCCTCTGTGGGAACACAGATCAGCTGTAGGTGACATACTTACCCAGTCAGGGCAGGGCCACCTCATGGGCATGTATGCATCTATGCCAGGCCCTGGGACACCTGGCAAGGAATGTGGGAATGTGGGGACCTGGTCTGAGGTGGTTTTACATATCCATGGAAGTGGCCTGGGAACTCTTCTGGGAGAGTTGCAGGCAAGGGATGAGCTGGTAATTTCAGGAGATCTCTCATCTCCCAGGTGGATTCTCCCATGCTGGACAGCTGTATGCTTGACATAGTGGGGACACGGCTGTGAGAGGTGAACTAGTGTATGTGGGTAGGTGTATGTGTGGGCATGGCTCTTTCTGGCTCATGGAAGTGGCAACTATATTGGGGGTCAGGACCAGAACTAACACCATCCAATTAAGACCAAGTAGACAGAGCATACAGTAGCATCATGCTCACGCCAACCCCCTCTCCCGCCCAATGGGCCAAAAGATTCCTTCCCTGGCATGAGGCAGAGGCCAAATGGGTCTGAGGGGCAAAGGCTGCACTTACTGCTGCTACCCAGGCCCTTACTTAGCATCAGTGTTGCAGACACATAGGCCTTCCCAGGTCCTGCCGCCTGCCTCCTCATTGCTCCAGCTCCCAGGTTGTTCCCTTCTTCCTGCTCACTCAAGCCTACAGTTTTTCACCATACTGCCTGTCCAGCCCCTACCTACCAACTCAGGCTTCTGTCAGGAATGCTTGCACTCCCTACCTCCTCAGTAGGGAAAACTGGCCAGCAAGAGGGGACAGCTTATAAGACAAAGGTTGGCATGGCATGCAGTCTGTCAGGCCACTGAGCTACCCTGTTCTGGTCTCCACATAGCTGCTTCAGGGTCTGGAGGTTTTTTTTTTTGAGACTGGATCTCTATGTGGTCCAGGTTGACCTTGACCTTCTCAAGTGATCCTCCCACTTCAGCCTTCACAGTAGTTGGGAACACAGGTGAGCTACCACACCCAGCTTGGGAAGGCCCTCTAGGTAGATCCTGGGCCACTCCTTCTTTTGTTCTCAAGGTCTGTCAATCCAGATCACAGTCCAACACAATGGCTGGCAGTGGGAAGCACCTCTAAAGACTTCTCCTGCAGAGCTCCCAGACCACCTTCACCTACAGGACAGGGTGTTGTCCACACACCCACCAAACTGGTCCTCGCTGGGCCCTGGCCCAAGGTCATACCCTTCCACAGGGGACAACAGCTCACCTGCCCTGGCAGGACACTTCCCTTAAGCAGCTGCTCCCTGGGGGTGGAGATGGGACTGCACTCAGGTGAGGGAGGACAGGCGCCTGGCTTCCCTGCTGACAGGAATCTACTGGACTGACTGTAGTGAGATTGGACCAGACACATCCTGGACAGAACCTAGAGTCCCCAAAATGGGTGAAAGGTGCCCTCGGGGTGACCAGTATCAGGGCAGCTTGCTCCTGTGCTCCAAGAGTAGTGCCAGGGGCTGTCCACCTTTCCTAGCTCTTTCTGGCTTGGGGGGGGCACCAGGAGGAGGAAGGAGAGCCTTTGGTGGTATCTAGTAGAGACTCAGAATCCTAGGACAGTACTCCTTGGGCCAGGTAGACTCCTCCCTTTACCAGGGCTACCAGAGCCATCTAGGCAAGGGCGCCTACTGGGGGCCAAGCCTACAGAAAAGGGCTGTTTGGAGCCTTGGCCTCTGGGTGGGAAGCAGGTAGTCGGGCAGAGCTCCTGTGCCATGAAGACAACTCTCCTCTCCCCCTGACAGCCTGGCACCAGGTCTGTGCTGGCTGATTCAAGACTCATGCCTAGCTCAAACTATCCTAGAATCTTAGGACCCACTTGAGGCTGGCAAGCCAGTCCCCCTAATCCTGTGGCCCTAGGGTCTCAAAGAAAGAGACCTTCCCTCATTTGGGCAGTACTGTCCCAGCAGCTGGAGAATCAGTTCTAGGGATCTGCATAAAATGAGATCCTGGCCTGGGGTGGGACATCCACAAAAAAGAAGATAGTCATGGGCCCAGAGGAAACTGAACAGCACAGCAATGGGTGTGCATGGGTCCCCTTAAGGAGATAGGAGGCGTGAGCACTGGCTGAGCCTGAGCTCCTGGGAGTGCATATGCTGCATGGGGCCATGGTCTGGGCAGCACAGTTTAGGTGAGTTCCTCACTGGGGCTTGGGGTTGTGCAGGCCACAGCAGGCAGGATAGGCTAGAGCTGGATGCTCCCAGCTGCCTCTTCCGTGAAAGTAAGGGGCAGCTTGGAGGGGAGGCAGGGCAGCTTGCCTTTGGCATAACATTCATCAGGGCCTCCTCTGTTCTCTTAGTTCTCTCACTTTGGGAGGGTGTCCTGGGGGAAATTTGTCCTCAAGTCTGAGCCAGATGGTCCAGGCATTGCTCAGCCCCAACTTCATGGTATCATGCTAGCTTTGGCTCCAGGTCCATATGCCCTCTGGTCACTCTCTAGTCACAGGGTGTTTTTGCAAGTAGTACCCACCATCACCAGAAGTAGCAAACCCTGACCACACTGCCATACTACTCTGTCATGCCTGGGGAGTCTGGACCCTGCTGAGAGCCAGCACCTTCTCACTAAGGGTGTTCCTCATTCTAGAGGTTGTAGAATATGGGCTTGGGAGAATGGACCTGTCTCAGCCAGGCCTTGACCACCAGAAAGATCCGAGAACCACTAGGGACACTCACCCCAGCAGGGTCAGACAAACACCATATACTTATGGATCAAACAGCAGTCCTGAGGTGGGCAGGTGTGGTAGTGGAAGGTGGGCTGGTCAAGAGAGTGGGCAGGTGCCAGGTCCTCAGCAGAAGGTCCCTTTTCCAGGCTTTCAGGGGCACACATTCTCAGTCAAGGCTGTCAACCACCCATGCTTATTTGTGTTTCATTCTGGTAAAGGACACTTAATCTAGTTTTAAGGAAATAGGAAAGGATCATCTCTGATGAATGTACACTTAGAAACATACTCTTCCTCTGATCCAACAGTTAGAAGAGAAAAGGATGTGAATTGTGGGGTTCTGGCCTGCTCAAGGGACAGGCAGGTGAAGGTGAAAGGAATAAAGGAAGCCAGTCTCTAGGTGGCCCTGCTGCAGCATCCTGGTACCCACCTCAAGGGATATCCCATCCCTCTATAGCAGGGTTGGTATGTGGCCAGTGATGACGGTCAGCCCTTCTGAAATTAGGTTACCAGATGTGGCTTCCTTCATGCTCACTATGACTCTAGCTCATCGTGACATGGAGACACTTGGTTCCACAAGGGAGGAACTGAGGCCTCTAGGCAACAGCCAGTGAAGATCTGAGGCTGCCAATCACTCTTGAGAGAGCTGAGATGACCAGATGACAGCTTGAATGCAACTGCACAAGAGACCTTGAGCTAGGACTCTCCTCCATCCCACACTAAATCACTCCTGGATTCCCAATTCTCAGACACTACAAGATGATGGGAGCACAGGAAAGGCAGAGGGCAGGACAACCTGAGGTAAGAAGGAAAAAGCTGAGTGTTTGTGGGAGTGACTTACTAATTTACTCAGACTGTGGACTCACCTTATCACTATGTTTTGAATTCACCACCACTACCAAACCCATACCACAGCTATGTATTTTTTGACTTTCTATTTTTTGAGACAGGGTCTTGCTATGTAGCACTGGCTGGCCTCAAACTCTAAATCCTCCTGTTTCCCACATCCTAAGCGCAAGGATTGTAAGTTGTGTACCACCATGTCCAACAAAGGTATTCTTATCTGACAAGTGTTGCTCTAAATTCTGTAGTGCTATTAACCTCCTTTTATACCTTCTATATAGGAAACTGAGGCAGAGAGAGGAAAAAAGACCACTCAGGTCATATTGTGGTGGAGCCACCAGTTACAATTCATTTCTTTTTGGAGGTACTGAGGTTTGAACTCAGAGCTTTACACTTACTAGGCAGGCTTTCTACCACTTGAACCACTCTGCCAGCCCTTTTATGTGTTGGGTATTTTTGAGATAGGGTCTCGTGAACTATTTGCCAGGACTGGCTTCGAGCTGTGATCCTCCTGATCTCTGCCTCCCAGATAGGTAGGATTATAGGTGTGAGTCACTAGCACATGGCTTCCTCCCCACTCCTTTTAGGTGCTGGGGATGGAACCCAGGGCCTCAAGCATGAGAACTGAGCCACACCTCTAGTGCTTCACCTGGTCTTTGTTTTGTGAGCTTCAGGAACAAACGGTTCTTCCTCTGGAAATAAATGGTAATGGCAATCGTGCAATTGTGACTGATTGGGCTAAAGGGTCCCTACCCTTTCATGTTCCTCAAAGGAAACTGGGGATAGCACATGATGAAAACACCAGCCCCTGTCTCTGAGACATGGGAAATGGCTGAGATGAAGGGACCCCCAACCTCCACCTCCACTCAGGTAGCACAGCCTGTGTGGTAGACAGTTGTCCTGGAGCTCTCACTCTGCCTTCCTGTTTGGTACTCCTGCCAGGAGTGACTGTCCTATCATTCAGATGGATAAAGGTCCCATGGCTAAAAGCAATTGTCCTGGATGTGACCCCCAACCAGACTATGACTGGACCGGTGAGCCTTTGGGGATGACTCTGTTGTGTGCAGGCAGGTACCTAGATGTGGGCCAGTGAGGGGCCTGTGGAAGGCACAGACTGGGTCCCTGAAACATGGTGGGAGAAGCAGGGGGAAGAGTTTGAAATGGAGGCTCAGGGAGGTTGATCCATCCCTGATGGCACCTAGGGACAAAGGGAACTCACTGTCCAGACTGGTCTTTGCTGAGGACCTATCAGCTGGAGAGGTGAGCTGGTTAGGGAACAGCCCTGTTCTGTAATGGGGTCTTTGGAGGCTTGCCATGGTCCCAGAGTCCTGGGAAACAAGAGGGGAGGGCCTTATGCCTGAGAGGTAGGCAAAGCTTGACACAGCCATGAGCTGGGTCCAACCAGACAGAATCATATCCAGAGCCAGAGGCATCCTTTTACCAGCAAAGGGGAGGATAATGCTTTGCTCCTCCCACTTGCTGGCTTGTGTGCCTCCTTCCCCTCAGAAAAGCCCCCCGTCCAGCCCTGGCTAGTTTGCTGGCAGGCTGTCCTTCCAGTGGATCCTGGAATTAGAAGAGATGAGGGCTCCTACTGATAGAGCCAGCCAGGCACTGTACTATCTGACTCTTGTCTGTCTTGCCCATGGGGTTATGGCAGGTTCTGGGAGATCTGGTGCCCAGAGGCTACTGAGGCTAGGTGCTGATATCCTTGCAGCATGCCAGGGTCAGGACTCCCCTTTCTGGTGCTAACAGGAAGGCCTAGTCTGTGCTAGTTTCTCATCTTCTTACTAAACCAAACTGTCTTTATTTATTGTAGTGCTTTGTGAGTGGGGACTGAGGAGAAAACCAGGACAACAGCAAACATGCTCACTCTCTCCCATTCCTTTACAGGTCGGGGGACTGAGGCATGGAGGGCTAGGTTAGGAGAGTGGCGGACACAGTATGTACTGTTTGGGGGCACCAACACTGCCAGGGACTGCAAAGTGGACCAGCAGCTGCCTGTTCCCATGGGATCACCCAGGCTAGAGGGTGCCCCCATCTTCCTCTTTGCCCAAGCTCTACTCAGGGAGAAGAACTTGCTGTCAGCTGGTGGTAGGGACTGCATGTTGCCAGGTGGAGACTTACCTGGGATCAGAGAGACCATGCTGGTGATGGTCTCAGGCCTATGTGATCGGGGAGTTCCAGGGTCCTTGGATGAGTCTGGGGTAGAGGCTGATGCAGAGGGAGGGCAGCTGATGACAGCTGTTGTGGCAGCCAGTGCAGAGCGAGGCTTAGTGTGGATGTCACTGGGCCGCTGGACAGCATCTGCTGGCACAGTGTCAGGTGCTATGGGAGCAGTCACTGCAGGAAAGAAGTTTTCTCGGCTGTCCTTGGGGTGCTTGGGGGTTGTGGGTGTGTCTCCTGAGGCCTGTTAGGACAGAGGAATGGTGAGGATGGTCAACTAGGCAGCCTCAAGCACCCTTCAGGAGTGTGTGGGGCTGCCATGGCAACTGTGACATGATGAGAGCAAAATAGACACTCCTTGAGTGGTAGGAGCAGCAGCCTCCATCTTTTTGGTGCTGGTCAGAGTTGGTCCAGGACAACTGTGATTATCATACCTGTCTTCTTCAAAGTGGGAGCTGTGAGATCCTGTTGGGTAGGAGAGGCTCCAGCTGCCTGCACTGAGCTGGACATGGGGCAGTGGGGGAGGTGAAGAAAGCCTATCAAAGAACTTTAGGAGAGTCTTCTAGGTGGCTTTTCCTAGAAGTACCAGCTCCACGTGGTAGGGGACAGGCCTTGTAATCTACCTGGGGATAAACTCCAGGTCAGTGCTGTGGGAAGCAGGTCTGCTGGGAGGGTGGGAACAAGTACAAGGGATCTGGGGTAGGGAAGAGATAGGAAGATAGGAAATGCTCTCTTGAGATTGGGTTCAAGGGAGATGAGGATCAGAATGGAGTAGATGGTCCTCAGCAGTGTCGCTCCAGGCCTAGGGCAGGAGTTGTAGGATAGACATGTTGTGAAAGGGCTTTGGACAATACCAAGGGCACCCTCCATCCTGCTGGGGTCAGAATATTGATGGAATGGGCCTCAGGACTATTGGGCCAGCTACCCTCCACATGAACACTATACCTCAGAAGGAGACCTCCTATGTCCCTTGAAAGTCCCTGAGAGCAACCTCTCAGTGGCCCTGATATGCATATGTATATACCTCACCAGTTAGTGGTCTTGGGCTTTGCTCTCTTCTAAGAAATGAGACTCTGCCTGCCCTTGGCTCCTTATTAGCTTAGTACCAATGAAAGGGGGAGGTGTTTGGGGTTTCCCTTAAAAGTCAGAAATAATCCTTTTGTTGGTGGTCACTGCCCACATCACTGCAGTGGGCCAGAAAAGACAGGAAGGGTCCCCAGGATGGTGTGGACCTCAGCTCCAAATGAGATCCCAAGCAATTACTCCTGCCCCATGGAGCAGGGAGGCTGTAGGGGTGCAAGAGACTGTGGGCACTGTGCTGTGCATTTGGCTACTCAGGCAATAATCAAGCGATAAGGACTGACTGGTAGGGGTACCTCCTGCCAATGACTCTGGCCCTCAGTTGGTAAACTGAACCCACAGCTTGCTTGGTCAAAGGTGAACTCCCTGGACTCCCTTAGACCTACATGTCTGAGCTGGGGGTGGCCTGATGCCCAATTCCACTGAGAGGAAGCCTATGTGGACATTGGTATAGCCATCAGGCAGCTTCTGGGGCCTGTGGGAAGAGGTGACCCAAAGCAACTAGGTCACACCTAGGCTGTACCTACTCAAATGGCAAGTCATGACCCTTTGACCTCCTATGGGCTTTAGAGGAGGTGGTGCTCCACATGGCTTCACCTGCTGGACCTGCCTTTCCCTTCCACATCCTCCTACTGAGCTCTGATCCTACCCCTCCACCTCCTCAGTCACTAGACCCCTTCCTGGTGGACAGATCCTACCTGCTGGCCTTCCTTGGACTCCCACAAAGAACCTACCCTTCAGCTCCTTCTTGCTCAAACCCTCCTCAGCCATATCACCCTCAAAAACAGCCCTGACCTCAGTTCCCATACCTGTAGGCCCCTTCCTCACTACCTTGGTCCTGGGCCCCTGGAACACTTTCCTTCTTGGATACCACTCTATCCTGGTCCAAGGCTCCTCTCTGTGCCTGTGGGTCCTTCAGAAGTGCTTGACCCTGCCTATGCCCTCTGCTGGCTGCTGATCCACACTGATGGCTTCAGTGACACCTATACCAGGTCTTGCCAAACAGGAGCTCTGGTATGAACTGTTCCTCCAAGAAAACCCAATCTCTAGCCTGGCTGGGCTCTTCCAAGTCCTTCCTAAGGGGTGTCTCACTAAACCTCCATTCCTTGCTAATTCTCTTTTCACCATTTCTTGCAATATCCTCATCTGATCCTTACACCAGCCCTATCCTCTCCACCTAACAATGATGCTGCAGTCCTGCCCCCTCTCCTGCCTAATGACTCCTATCCCCCCTCTTGGAGAGAGACCTCCCCTCTTCAGTGGCCCCTGAACAAGGCTGTATTTCCACCCCACAACCCCAGCCACTTTGTTCATCGTTAGCCTAGCTCTAACATCATATTCTCTACCTCTGTCACAAAGGTAAGGACCTTCCCAAGTGAGGTCAGCTAGCTAGAAGCCATCCTTCTTGCTTATGGAAAAGGCAGCCAAGGCAAGGGGACCCCTCAGGTCATACATAACAGAGAGCTGGCATCTGGGCCCTGTCAAGGCTCCCCCACTGTGGAGTGGTACCCCACCAACTCAAGGCTCAGTCACCTCCTGTTCCTCTCACCTCAGTCCATGCTGACTACAGGAACCACTGAGGGGGCACACCTGTTTCTTAGCCTGTAACCTGGGACCTTGGTACGGGGCAGGGCTAGCATAGGCTAGCATAGGTCAGGCTTACCTGTCTCTGAGCAGCAGCTCCAAGGTGAACTTGACAAAACTTCACAGCCTGCTCCAGTGCAGCCTCCTCGTCCACCTGAGCAAGAAGATGGCAAAGGTCAGAGGGCCTGGACCATGATTCTTGGTCTCCTCTCAGCCCTGTTCCTTAGGTAGCACAGACCAACCTACGTGTGTGTGAACTCTACTCATGTGTCCTCCTCACTTCTGGCTCCACCCAGAGTCCCCACGTCTGCCTCCCAGATGGGGGTTCCACCACTGGGCTGAGGCCCAGTTGCTTCTGGGTGGTTTCTGACAGCAGCCAATTTCTAAGCTTCCTGCCCATTCAGAAGCCCAGGTCTGGGTGGTGGTGGTAAGATTTAATGATAATGGTCTTGGGCAGTGCCAAGCAAGAGCCCAAGGCATGGCGAGTTCAATACAAGACGAGGGAGGCATGGGGTGACCGTGGACAAGCAACAGGCAGGGAGTGAGGGAAATACCCACACACTACCAAGGCAGGCCAGGAAGTGGGCAAAGCAGGGAAAAGGCCAGCCTCACTACCAAGGAAAATAGTAGCACTTGGATTATCTTTTAAGTAAGTAGTAACAAAAATAAACAGAAGTTAGCACTTGATGCTAGTGAGGTAAGACAGAGATAGACAACTTCAAAACAAAAGTGGCCTCACAAACTGACATCATTTGGGAAAAAAATGTTTATCAGGGATGGTTATCCTATTTGTCTGGGAATTCTCCCTATGGGAATAATTTTAAATGGAGAAAAAAGTATGCCTATAGACTAAAATTTTTAAAAAAGGGTTGGGGGAAGAAGAGGCATGACAGCCTTTTCAGGCCGTGGTGGTCAGTTGTCAGTCTCTTCCTAGACTTGCCCCTTAAGGCAGGGCACAGCAACCACTTTTAGAAGACAGCTACTGAAATCTTAAAGGAAATGCCCCAAATCCATATAAAGGCCCCTGACAGTGGTGGGGCCAGGAGTTCTCATCTTCCTGTGCCGGACTTGTAATGTGGTTTCATTTTCCTTAAAGGTTGAATTTACATGTTTTAAAACTCACTGTTTTGCTGACCAAACATATAGCCTGCTCATTGTAGAAAACCTCAAACCCCACCCCCAATCAAAACAAAAAAACCCATGTATGCAGTGGGGATGGGGTGAGCATAATACCTGAAACCCATCCCAGAGGCTATCTGAACATCCAAGAATGAGCTTCTGGGAGAATAGGGAGTCTGTGCACAGACTGGGCTGTCTCGCCCCTCACCCACCTGCTTGATGAGCATGTAGGTCTCTGACATGATCCTCTCAATGCGGCCCAGGTCATAGGCCACACCCTTCTGGCCTTGCTGCCACACACGGTAGGCATCCAGTAGGAGCATCTTGCCTGATTCTGTGTCTTCCAGGAGCTTTCTCTTGCGGCTGGGCCGTGAGGGTGGCTCCTCAGGATGGTTGCACCCCCTGGTCCCCGTAGCAGCAGTGGGGGCAGTGTTGGTGATGGGGGCTGGTGAGGCTGACATGAGTGGAGTGGGCTGCTGCCGGGTACTGATGCTCAGCTCCTCAAGGGATAGCTCAGGGGGCCGGCTTTCTGGGCCTCGGTCCCTCGGAGGATGGCCTGGCAGTAGTGGCGGTGTCTGCTCCAAGTCTGACTGGCGAGTGATGGCCTCACCTGTGTCCATGGGCTCAGTGAGCCCCCCTCGGGGACTCTCTTTGTCCTTTTGCTCCCCGCCTTGGTCTGTGCTGTCTCCTGCATCCATGGCTACAGGCCGGTGGTTGAGGGGGCCCACTGTACCCCCTGGCTCAGGCCCTGGTCCTGAGCCATCAGCCAGGGGGGGCTTCTTTGGGTGGGGGAGACTCTCCTGGCTATTCTCAGGACTGGCCCTGTGTGAGACATCGGAGGTCATCCTGGCTCCAGAGAGGCCACAGGTCTTGGGCCCTGGGCGTTCTGATCCCTACAAGGAAACCAGAGACAAGACAATGGTGCCGCCACTGCATCAAAGCACATCTTGGCCCCTCTCCTACCCAATGATACTCTGGCTCTGGACATTTGCTGGCTGGCCAGGGCTGCGCCTCATTCATCAGAGGAAGATGCTGGGCCCAGAGACCTGTCCTCTTATGCACCTCTGGCTGCCCCTTGACCCTCAAAGATAGTCACAGGGGCCAATGGGACTCTTTTTTGGGGCTCCCAAAGAACAAGGTTGGCCAGCTAGGATGGCATCACCAGGCTCTCCTATGTGATTGTGATTTGAGCCTTGGGGTATTTTATGAGAAAGGGACCTACCTAGGGTCTCTGCTTGCTGCAGAGACAAGTCTTTCTAACCCCTAGTGCATAAGGCCCTGGGTGGGGGTGGTGGGTGCTAAGCATCTATATCAAGCCCCAGCCAGCCCTACTGGTTTGGGCTCTGGAGGTGGCAGACCTGGTTCCTGGCTGTCTCACCCACTAAGAGGATTACTTCAGTTCCTGGGCCTCCAGAGCTCAGCTGTGCAGGTACTCACAGGCTTGCTTAGCCTGATGTAGAACTCAGGCCTTGGAGGGTCATGATCACTCTCCTCAACTACCAAGCATGTTGGGCCCAACTGCTTACACGTCCATCATTTTAGCTGACCTTCCTAGCTTAGGGGTAGTGGTCAGAATGGGTGCTACTTCACTGGTGGAGATGCAGGGACCTGCCTAACAGTGTGCAAGTGGTGGGATCAGCAGTGGGAGGGACTGGGAGTGAATTAATGGGCTGTGAAGAGGAGTTATAGGTAACATACCTCTGTGAGCTCACTCAGTGTGTCCTCTAGCACCTTCACAGTGAGAATGAAGGCCCGCTGTGCCAGGACCTGGCGGTCAGCATCTCGTAGATACTTCCTGCAGTCACACAAAAGAGGCCAGAGGGATGAGAGAGTGTCAAGATGTCACATAATGCTGCTGCATGACAGCCCAGCACCCCATCCTTACCCCAAGAAATGTGCGTTCCACTTACTGAGGTCTGCTCCCTTAAAAGTCTCCCCTATTCCTCATCCTCCACACTCAACAGGTCTCTGACTTACCAGAGGGCCAGCTGGCTGCCCTGAGCCCTCTGGACTGCCTGTGAGCCCAGAAGACAGAGCTACATTGGGCTGGCCCTGCCTGCTGACTCAGGGAGGGCTGGGAGTGGGGAGAAGTTCCTCTCCCTTAGGCCAATCACCCTGAGATCATGGCATGCCCTCTGGCACACCATAGGTGAACCAAGACCATGAAAAGGTGAGGCAGTGCAGGAACAGGAACATGCTGGCTCAGCTCGAGGCTTTTGGTCAGGGCAGTACATGAGTGAACTGTATCTCCTGGGACCTCCAACAACCCCTGCATGTGGCAGCTGAGGCAGATATCCCTCTGTTGTGCCCTGCCCTTCTCTGGTTCCAACTGAGGCTCAGGCTCCATGCTGCCTACCTAGTTATTACTGACCTTTGCCTTGGGTGCCATAGTTATGTTTTGAACACATTCTCCCCTCCACATAATAGCACCTCTGAGAGCCCCACGCTGGGGGGACAGGAAGGCTGGGCTGTCCAGCGTTTCGATGTACAAACCAAGGCCAGTAGGGAAAGCCTGTGTTGATCCCAGGGTGCTTTAGAGTAGGGGTGGTGTCCCTTAGGTTCTAGATGCTGGGATAGGGAGTCCTTGGGGAGAAAGGGATGGCTGGGCTCCTGGACCAGCAAGCCTCAGGGCAGAGAGGGAGCAGAGGAGACACAGCCCTAGTGAATAACTGACCCATGGTGGCATGGCCATGTGCCAAGCTGTGATGGAGAGAACTGGTGGGTCACTCACTTGCCCTGGTCTGGGGTCCGCTGCAGCATTGAGGACACCTTCAGCAGGGTGCTATGGTCCCGGAGCTGGGCCAACACCTTGAGCAGCAGCACGATCGAACGGTTCATGTGCCAGGCGAAGCTGCCTGGCCGGTCAATCTCATCCACGGGGATCCGCCAGATGCCCTACGGGGTGGGTAGGGGTGGGCTATGAGGAGGACAGTTGTGGCTAGTCTCAGGGATACCTCTTCCTGGTATCCCCTGGAATGTGCCACTGTACCAGAGATACACTGCCCAATATGGGATTTCTTGGCCTACCTGTCATTCACAGGATAGAAGTATAGCTGGCCCTACTTTTCCCTTTTCATCAATGGTGGCAGACAACATACAGAGTTCTGTAGTCTCTTTTGTATGGTAGTGTTATATATGTTTACTAGACTTGTCCCCTACAATGACACTCAGGTTGTGAGCACACCTCTTTGCTGACCCAGTCACACATCCAACTCCCAGAGGTGAAACTGCTGGGTTAAAGGGGGCCATGGTGAACCTCTGGCAGCTGCTGCTGGCCTCTTGTGTACTCCCTTTCTTGGCACTCTCATGGAAACATCAGTAGCTCCTTTGGTGGCCCTTGCCACCTCCGTCACAGCAGTTTGCACTGGCAAGGACCTTCCTCCCCTCTTTCTTGGCCCATGCCTAAATACTGTGGCACTGGTACCCCCTGCAAAAACCAATTCCAGAGTCTGGTTCTCTGAAGTGTCCTGGTGACTAGCATGGTATCTAATGACAACTTGGGTTCCTATCAAGGTGCAGGGAAGGCATGGATGACAGAGGGAAGGAGTTATGAGTGAATAAACATTAAGGAGGCCTATCTCAGGCACAGGACCTCAGAAGCCTGGAAAGAGCTGGCAGGTTCCCAGATGGTTCCCTATATTCAACTCATGGAGAAATTTCTGCCTAGAATGGACTAGGACTACAAGTGACACTGCCTCTTTTTCTCAGCATGGGCTCCAGCCTGTATCAGGCTGCAGCATGGGGTTACCAGGCACAGGGACCATGGCATTGTGTCTAAGTGGTGCCCCTCCCAGTCCTTAGTCCTGCGGTGTTCATTACCTGTTCATGGTGTGTGCACAGAGGTGTGGGCACACCCTACTTTAGCAGTCTTGGGAGGAAAGCCAGGGTACCTCGAGCTCTGAGCTGTATAGGACAGGGAGGAGCTGAACACTCTCATTTCTGAGCCTGTATCCTCCACACTGGGCCACCAGGCAGACAGATGTGCAGCCTGGCTCACATATCCACTGGGCAGGCTGGGGCTGTGTGGAGGCTGGCAGCTATCTCCTGCCCTCAGCAGTGCCCAACAAGGATGAAACTGGGGATTAAGGTCATCACATGCAGTGTGGCAAACACCAATACTGTATTTTTCTCAGATGTGGGTCTGTAGCAGCTTATGCAAAGCCACATGTGGGAGGCATGGATCCCAGACATGTCACTCCTCTACTGTCAGGGCTGTGAATGGTCTAAGTGTGACCTGTGGCCATAAAAGTGCTGTCCCTGTCACCAGTCAGGACCAGGAGTGTGAGGGTAGGGAAGGACCCTGCCTTCTGGGAGGCATATTTCTAGACATCACACATGTGATCCTCACCACAACCTCCCACAGTCATGCCATGGTTGCCAGAGTTCAGATGTTAAATGAGACTCCAAAAGTCACACACTCTTGAGGGGTGGCCCAGGATTGTGCCTTTACCACACCCACAGTTTTAAGAAAAGGATCCTTGAGGGCAAATGGAAGGAAGCCCCAACCACCTGTGCCAGCCTCCACTGCTGGATGCCACAGTTCCTCTCCACATCAGGCCCAAGAGGGAGAAGACCAGAGCCACACTTTTAGAGATCTGGGTGTGATCCACTGCTCCCAAATCTCACTCTTGGAAATGGAGGGACATGCCAGATAGTCAACTGAATGACCCAGCATGACCCTGGATTTTACTGAACACCTCCCTTCCTTTGCAGAGCTCCTGATGACTTAGGTCAGGTTGGAGGTCACTCTTCCCCCGACCTGGAGATCAGATCCTTATAAAAAGCTGGGGATGGGGCAGGGTCCACCTGACTTTCCATCAGGGGAGGATGAATAAAAGAACTCTATTTTGTTCTTCAGAACTGTTTGGAGGAGAGAGAGAGAGAGAGAGAGAGAGAGAGAGAGAGAGAGAGAGAGAGAGAGAGAGAGAGTGTGTGTGTGTGTGTGTTTGTGTATGTGTGTGTGTGTGTCTGCCTTTACCTGCTCCCCCCATCATCCTGGACCTCTATACCAGTAGTGGTGCTATTGCTGGGGCACAGGCCATAGCAGACTGGGGGATAGAAAGGACAGACACAGGGGTCCCCAGATACCAAATTTTTTTTTTTTGTGGTGGGACTGGCCTTTGAACTCAGGGCTACATGCTTGCAAATCAGGCACTCTACCTGTTGAGCCACACCTCCAGCTGCCCAGACCTTGAGAACAAATAAGCTGAGGGTACTCAGGCCCAAAAGCCAATGTCTACCTCAGCTGCACATCTGAGGTTACCACTTCTGGAAGGGGCCTGTTTCATCTTTGGTTAATTAGCAGAAAAGGTCTTTTTTCTATTCAGTGCAAGAACCCTAGGGTCATCCCCCAAGGTCTGAAACTTATACCAACTGAACTTTTTTTCAATGTGTGTGCTGGGGATTGAATCCAGGGCTGAGACAAATGCTCTACCACTGAACTATATCCCTAGTCCCTGGTTTTTTGAAACAGAGTTTCACTTTGTAGCCTGGGCTGGCCTTATATTTGCTATGCAGCCTAGGCTGGAATGCAACTCGAGATCTTCCTGTCTTAGCTTCCCAACTGCTGGAATTATAGGCATGTACCACCATGTCCAGACAGACTGGCCTTTTTACCTCTTTTTTCAACTCCCTCACCAACCCATGGTCTAATACAAGTCATAAATTCCATGACTCTGAGACTCTGCCCAACCAGGCCCAGATGTGATGTCACGTCCTCTCAGAAGCTTACTGCCCTCTTCAGAGACAACTCCTGCAGAGACAACTCAAAGTCAGCCCTCAAATAGTTGGGGATGGGTTTGTGGCTAGCAATGTGTCCTGGCCAGGGTGGGGGTCTGCTTTGCTTTAGCTCTGGATTCCCAGTGACCTGACAAAAGCCTGGCAGAGCAGATGAGGCAGTTTGAGAAGGGCTTTCTGTCCTTCTGTAGGGCCCAGGCTCTGCAGAAGCTTCTATCTGATGAATTCTAGTTTCCTGATCTCCTTGTTGGCCTCTCACCTCAGAAATTTCCATGTTCAACTATAAAGGGCAGATGGGAGACAACTGTACTCACAGCTCTTTAGAGCTTCAGGTATGCATGTGAGTGGAGGGGAAGAGGGGTCTGCAGGGAAGATGAATGGTACCTCTTACCTAAAAGACAACCACTGCAAGGCAGCAACACTGCGGTCATGAGCAGTACTTGCCAAACACAGTTTACCCAGCCAGGCAGCAGCCATCTCAGCGCTTTCTCCCATGAAAAAGCAGGCTGAGGAGGTGCTGCTGGAGAAAAGCCACACTTGGTCCTGTGCAGGGTGGCAGGAGAAGCACAGCAGACTTGGCAGATGGTGAGGGACATGGAAGGGCAGGACTCCTGCAGAGAGGGATTCTTTCTCCCGAGGTACAGGATGGAAGATACAGTGTGTTCATGTATTTGGGTGTGTGTGTGTGTGTGTGTGTGTGTGTGTGTGTGTGTGTGTGTGTGTGTGTGTGTGTGTGTGTGGTGGTGGTACAGGATGGAAGATACAGTGTGTTCATGTATTTGGGTGGGTGTGGGTGTGGGTGTGTGGGTGTGTGTGTGTGTGTGTGTGTGTAAGCAAGCCAATGAGCATGTGGAGGAAACTTCCTGGAGTACCCATGATATGGTAACCAATGTGAGCTAACTGGGACTGCATGGGGGCGGGGTGACCTGGCACTGCCAGTCACCTGGAACTGGATGGGGCAGGATGCTGGTTCATCTTCACCAATTGGGAGGAGTTGTCACCTGCTTGTTTAAGTGAGACAATGCCTAAGGAGATGGTGTTGGAGCCCCAGAGTCATCCCAAGCCCCACTTGGAACACCTGGAATGTCTACAGAGCATTCAGAGGCAGTTGGACCACTCTGTCCTCTATTACCAGCCTGTTGAGGCTGGGCTCTCATGCTTATCCAATTACCCTTTCTGGGCCATGCACTCATTCTGCTAGGCCTGGGGAATGACCAAGGAAGGTTCGCTCTGAAGGCTTTCTGGTCTAGAGTGGAGATAAAGGACAGGCAGCCCAGATGTTCCTTCCAAGCAAGGGTGAGGTGGGTCAGGAGCTGACCCTTCTGATGGCCACAGAAAGGCCTCACAGGAGATAGAGAATAGGGGACTACAACAGAAGCACATATGCTATAAGAGGGAAAAGAAACCTACATAAAACAGAATTTCTTCCTGCTTCCCAATAGGCCAAGTCTGTTAGCAGTAGAACCCAGGTGGGCAGAAGCCTCTTTGCCAGGGTTTCCTCACTGGGCAGCATGGCCTGCTAAAGGCCCTCTTTTCCCAGTACAGTCATGAGCACCCAGAGGCCAGCAAACATACTTGTGTACCAGCAAGCACAACTATGCATCACACATTCCAGCACATGGTTTGGATCCCCATCTCCTTTCCACTTCCTTTCATAATATAACACCACCCAAGTCAGAAAGGATGAAAGGCCAAATGAATCAGGAAGCAAGTCTATGGAAAACCAGAAGGGAACTACAGATGCCCCCAACAAAGACCAACACCACCACTTATAGGTTTGAAATGCAGCATTTTGCTTTTGCACATGCTCTGGTTTCATTTTGGCATGCTACTTTGCCTTTTCCTGGTAACAGTGGTGCTGAAAGACACATTTCCTGGGCACAGTCTGCTGGCTTCAATGCCCTTATTCATTCATTCACTGCTTATTCATTCACATGCCACAGTGTGGGGCTCCTGAGTTTGTTTACCAGGCACTGAGCACCATCCCCTCCCTTTCTCCTGTAATGGGCTTGTTCCCTTCCACTCCCAGGGCTAGGCTAGGAGCTCAACCAGGTTTCCTCTCTTAGCAGGAGTACTCGGGAACACCCCTTCCTCTCCTCAGCATGTGGCTGTGTCCACATGGAGGTAGGTCCCCTGGGGGAAGGTGTTCCTGTGGCCAT